GCCCTTTTGTTCATCTCAGTTCAGGTCCACCTAGGACATCTCTCCCCAGGCTGGGTAAACACGAAGAATTTATGGCCCGGTGCACAATCTGGTTCTGCGCTGGCTGTACAATGGGAGCGCAGCAGCACCCAGCAGGGACCTTTGGCTCTCATTCCCCGTCCAGCGGTCGGGGCCTCGCTGTGCTTGGAGGGTGACTGCAGGCCCCGGTGGGGGGACGGCGCCTGGCACTGCAGAAACAGTGGGCTTGGAAGGCACCAAAATGTACTTCTGGAGGGCACAGCCATGAGAGGGGCGAGGATGTAACGGGTGGGAGAAAATGGTGTCCCCTGTCAGGGCCAGGGCTACTGCCCAGAGCCGAGCTGGGAACGGCAATTGTTCTGCAGCTATTATACACCAGGAATCACGCACGGAGGTAAAAAAGTAGCCAGCTGGCTACGGTAAGCACAGCGCTGCCAAATATTTTGGCTCCATATTAATAAAAATCATTAAAGTTTATGATAGGATTTAATTATAACTCGTTTCTGGATCCATTTTTTCAAGAATGGAATCTGGTGGTTAATGCAGACAGCACAGTGTTTTATTAGCCATATGTATTACAGCTTAACACAGTCCTTTTTAAACAGAGAACTACAAAATAGTATAGTGATCTGCAAACATTCCCCGTACGATCACCTCAGGCTTTGTGTGGCTGCCAACCTGGGCCACCACGGCCAGACCAGGAGGTGCAGGAGAGGTGAAATGAGCCCAGCGAAGGAGAACTTGCAGAGTTTCCAGGGAATGCATTTGCTTGTCCCCCACATGGAGGCTGTACAGCTTCTCGCTGTGAGCAGAGGGGCAGCTCAGCCCTGCAAGTGTGTAAGTAAGGCAAGGCTTAGCAGAGACGGGGCAGAGGCTTCTGTTTGCCTGATCCCATTGTACTAGAAAACTGCAAATCTCACCAAGAGTTGGAAGAGCTACTGACTCCGGATGAGTGAAGCCATGCGGTCCATCGCTGACCGCTGGAAGCTTCCTGCTGTGGGGATGTTATTGTAGCAGACAGGGATGCAGATAGGGATGCTCTCCCGTCACTGCCCGGCCCGCCTTGGTTCCCCCACGCGCGAGCAGAGCAGGGAGCTGCTCTCAGGGGCAGCGTTACAAAACTCGATGTCTCCCTTTGGGAGGCCTGTGACTGGCACCAGTGGGACAAAGGGACCAGGACTGGGGTAAACAGTGGGAAGGTCCTGCATGGCAAAGGATTTTGGCTCTGTGAGCAGTTTGATAAATATATTTCAGCCGTCCATGCAGTTCAATGCCATGCTGTATGCAAGAGATTTTCTCTTTCCTTTCACCTCTCCTCCAGTAAATCAGGGCAGATGCCTGTTGCTGAGGCAGCTGGGTACCCCGTGTATGGACAGCCGTCTGTGTTCTAAGGCCACAATTTTTATAACCCTTTCCTCACTTTGTAGTTCTTTTTCTTGCATTGCATCACATTCGTGGCCCAAGTCTTCCAGTGACCGGTGCCGGTCCCACAGGGTGAACGGTCCGGGTGCCACGCAGGGGAGGTTAAACTGCACAAGTCCCCGCATTTCCGTACGGTTCTTGGGGCTCTTTGACTGCATTTGAGTGTGGTGTGCCCGTAACAGCCTGAGTTCAAGTAAGTGATGTGCTGGGAGCCTGTAAGATCGTCACACGTTGGTAGGGGTTAAGGACACCTCCCAGCCGCTGCTTAGGTGCAGCATCCCAGGCAAGGGGTTTTTTTTAATGACAGAAGAAAGGGAGGAACCAGGGTGCTGTTGGATATGGTTTTTTTCTTCCCTGCAAACATTGTCCTTAATTGTTGTTTTTTCAGGGAACATGAGAAAGAAGTGCAGAATCGGA